TATACAGGAGATTCTCCCTTCCCTCGACAAGAGCCTCACCAAGGTTCTTATTGGCAACAAGGCCGATTTGCTCGGCCGTGAAGTCACCGCTGAGGAGGCCGCCAGTTTCGCTCGTGAGAACGGGTTGTTGTTCATGGAGACCTCTGCCAAGACCGGTCAGCATGTCAGGGACTGCTTCTTCAACTCTGCCAGACAGGTTCTCCTGCAGCTCCAGATGGGCATGATCGATCCCGCTTCAACCAAGGGTATCCGCTCTGCTGGTCGCAATAGCAATCGTGTTAGTACGGTTACTGAGCGCGGTTGCAACTTGCTCCGTAACTCCGTTGTCAACAAGGCCGAGGCTTTCACTGACAGTGAGCGTGAGGAGCTTGGTTTGGTCGGTTTGCTCCCGCCTAAGGTGTTGGATCTCGATGTCCAGTCTAGGAGGTGTTATCTGCAGTTCTCGCAGAATTCCAATGATATCGAAAAGTATATCTACTTGGAAAGTCTGCATGATCGTAACGAGACGTTGTACTTCAAGCTGCTTGTGGACCATGTTGCTGAGATGATGCCCATTGTCTACACCCCTGTTGTTGGTAAGGCCTGTCAACTTTTCGGTCATATCTTCCGTAATGCTCGTGGTCTCTACTTCAATCTCTCCGAGAAAGGTAACTTCAAGGAGATGGTTTGGAACAGCAATGTTCGTGATGCTGATATCATCGTGGTCACTGATGGTTCTCGTATCCTTGGTCTTGGTGATCTTGGTACCAACGGTATGGGTATCCCCATTGGTAAACTCTCCCTTTATGTCGCATGTGCCGGTATCAACCCTGGCCGCACTGTGCCTGTTACCCTCGATGTCGGTACTAATAACCCGGATCTGCTCAATGATGATATGTACCTTGGTGAGCGCCATAAGAGAGTCGATGGTGAGGAGTACTATGCTGCTGTGGACGAGTTTGTCGATGCTGTCCGTTCCCGTTGGCCCGGTGTCCTCATCCAATTCGAGGACTTCACTAATGATCACGCCTTCCCCCTCCTCAAGAGGTATCAAGAGAACATCTTATGCTTCAATGATGATATCCAGGGTACTGGCTCTGTCGCCTTGGCAGGCCTTGTCAGTGCTATGAGGGTGAAGAAGGAGAAGCTCGAGGATCAAAGGATCGTCTTCCTCGGTGCTGGTGCCGCTGCCGTTGGCATCGCTGATTGCATCGTTGCTGCTATGGTTCATGATGGCCTTTCCCCTGAAGATGCCAGAAAGCGCTTCTGGTTCGTTGACTCTAGGGGTTTGGTCACTTGGAAACGTGGTGGCAATATCCAGGATCATAAGGTGAGTAGCACAGTACTGTGGTCTGTCCTTGATGTTGTTTATCAGGTTCCTTATTGCCGTGACGACGCAGAGCCGATGACAAGTCTTCTCGAAGTCGTGAAGGCCATCAAGCCTACTGTGCTACTAGGTCTCAGTGGACAGTCGGGTTCCTTCACTGAGGACATTATCAAGGTTGGTGCTTTCATCACTTGTCATTGGTTTAGTGACTGTCGTTGTTGTTATTTTATAGGCTATGTATGCTAACTGTCCTCAACCTGTCATTTTCGCTCTTTCCAATCCTACACCCAAGGCCGAGGCCACACCCGAGCAGCTCTATACGTGAGTTCATATCGGAAGTATCTTTTCGGTGATGTTGATCATTCTCAGGTGGACCGATGGAAACGCCTGGGTTTGCACTGGCTCTCCATTCGGGCCCGTCACATACAATGGTAAGGTGTATCAATCCGGCCAAGGAAACAACATGTACATCTTCCCTGGTGTCGGTTTGGCTGGTATTCTTGGCAAGTTCAAGTGGATCCCCGATTCAATGTTCTACACTGCTGCAAAGACTCTTGCTGAGAGAGTCACTGAGGAGGATATTGCTCGTGGCACTTTATATCCCTGCCTTACTCGTATTCGCGAGCTTTCTCACGACATTGCAGTATCGTGCATCAAGGAGGCCTTCGATCTCGGTATTGCTTGCATTGAGTAAGATCATCGGATTTATTATGTATTTGGTGGCATGTGTTTTGCTGTTTTCAGACGCCCTGCTGATCTCGACAAGTTCGTGTGGGACCACATGTGGAAGCCGGAGTACTCTCATACCGAGTTGGACCCTTCTGTGTTCGCTTTCTCCGGCCAGGGTTCTGGTGTGGGCAACTCCCAGAGCAACAAGAATAAGCTTAGCGTTGGTACCATCCAAAGCAAGGCCTTCTCGTTCACTGACATGGAGCGTGTGAACCCCAATCAGTTTATGTAAAAACATTCATCACCAAGTTGGTGTGGTAGTAATAGTAGTAGGACGTTGTTGTTGTTTTTTGTTAAGACTAGACTAACTGTGCTGATCTATATCATACCAGCGCCGCCTTCCTTCAGTCTCTGTGATAGCTCTGGTCGTGGTATTGGCGCATTCATGGCCGTCATCGGCTGCCGCCCTCCCACGACTAGGGTGGTCTCATTGAGGCCTTGTTACTACAATGGACTGATAGCTAGCGACATGACTACTATTCTCTTCTATTTGTTGGTTTTGCTGCTGCCTGCTCACCTTTGTGAGGGCTAGAAAAAATCTTGTTGGCATTGGTGTTTTTCAA